GGGGGCGGGAGGCCCTGGGCCCCAGGACAAGCGGGAGGAGCGGGCAGGGGCGGGGTGACGCCGTGGGGTGTCAGCTGTCACCCTGCGGGGAGGGCCGAGGGCCGAGGGCCGAGGAGGGGCGCGGTGCCGGGCACGCGGGTGCTGTGGTTCAGGAGAGAAAATCAGAGCCGCGGGGTAGGTGAGAGCGGCCAGGGGCGCAGACGCGAAGGGCCGGGGCCGGCGGGAAAGACTCCTTAGCGTTAAGGGCCCAAGTAGTTTCCCTGGGGCATAACCGCGGGAAGGGGTGCGACGGGCACTGAAGAAATGGTGCCGACCCGGGACGCAGCCCAGACCCCGGACGCCGCTGTGGTTCGGGGGGACCCGGGGCGGCGGTGACTCCCGGCCGCTCCACCCACTGAGCTCCCGGGCGCCTGAGGCTGCGCCTGGGCACCAGCGGGCCAAGGCCTGACCTCGGTGAGAACAGGAGCACAGGGAGACGTGCAGCGCTGTAAGCGAGCGGGCCCAGCCCCGTCACAGAAGGGGCGTCGTATGCGTCTGTACTCAGCCCTTACGTCGTTTGTTTTATGCTCAATATTTTAGATCACTTTGCTTAGATCACTTCCCGGGAAAACCAAACAACAGACCGTTGCTAGGAGAATCCGTTTCAGTAACTTACCTCCCAGGTGAAAAGAGGCCTCCACCTCCTAACCTTCCTGTTTTGTTCCCTGGGGGCCCTACCCCAGTCCTCATGGCCTGGCTGCTTTTCCTTGGGCGCTGCGGTGAGGACGCCTGTCCCCTGCCTCGCTGCACAGCATCCTCTGCCCAGCCGCCCTCGCTCACTCGTTGAGATCTGTTGCATTCTTCAAATCATCCTTAGCTCAGATGCCCGAGTTCTTCCGTAAACACCTCCGAGGTTTCCCTGACCAGGATGGAGCGCTGGAGCACGTCATGATATATGTCTATATTCAGCCCTTACATCATTTGCCTCGGTTATGGGAGAGCATAGAGTTGGGGGAACCAGGAGCCCAACTGCAGAGATTCTTATAAGTTTCTGCCAAATGGTACTTTGGAAACTGCCTGGGAATTAGTGTTCTAAACAGTGAGTCAATATGCTCCCCAATTTTCAGAACAAAATATGTGGATGGGGTTCTTTTGTCCTGTGGATCCCAAGTTCCCCGGGATGCCAAGGCAGGGTGAGTCAGGGAGAGTATTATGAGCACTAACATCTGGCAGGCAAATATTTTAACTTCCACCCGACCTTTTTTTCAGGTTAATTAACATCCACAGGGTCATTTTCACTTTACGGATGGTTGGATTCAGGTAGAGACATTGCGGCCTTTAGGTTGGGCCCTTTGCCTCTGCGCTGAAGCTGTGGATGCAGCTAAGCTCTGGGCATTTCCAGGCGAGCTTTCAGGCGAACCCACATTAAGCATCGTCTCCCAGCTGGGAGTGCGTTGAAATGAAGCAGGAGCTACAGTTGACCAATGCTAATCGTTGGCAGAAGGAGTGGGTGGTAAATGGCACTATGAAAAATGGAGAGAGGCCCTGGCCAGGTAGCTCGGTTGGTTGGAGCGTCTTCTCTCTACAGCAAGGTTGCAGGCTCCATCCTGAGTTAAGGCACATACAAGAAATAACCAGTGAATGCATAAATAGGTGGGACGACAAACTGACATCTCTCTGAAAATCAATCAGTAAAAATTCAAAAAGAAAAATGAAGAGAGCCTTGTTTTCTGTGAATTAAAAGTGGATAGCTCCAATTATTTATTGCTCCTTCCACACAGGAAGATGATACAGAGTTAGTTATAAATAATGCATCCAACCTTGGAAGGGATGAGCTATATGTTATGTTATTGTGCATTAAAAACCTTTATGAGTGTGGCAAGAGACACATATACCAACAGCTGCTAAATTCAGAATCCTGGAGCAGTGTCTTATTTTATGTAAGCAAAGAACAGTACAGTACAGTCTATTGCTCTGGGGATTTCCAGCTATATAAAAAGATCTTAAATCTACATAAGATTTTACTCATGATTTCAAAGCACTTATAAAAATCTGCTTTCTTTATTTGAATATCTTTCAACCAAACTACCAGCCATGCCACTTAAAACAGATGATGCTTTCTAGACTAGATTTCCCAAGACAGGGCCCTCCTTCCTTCCTTCCTCCTTCCTTCTTTCCTCCCTCCTCCTTCCTTCCTTCCTTCCTTCCTTCCTTCCTTCCTTCCTTCCTTCCTTCCT